TCTGGAAACAAGGAATTAACCACTAAGGAAGAAAACTTTCAATTATCCTACTCTAAACTATAGACAGTATTGTTTCTTATTACAACCTCGGTTTATTTGTCGTAATTTTTTCTATCAATGTGCATACATAAACATATAATTGGCCTATAGATGATTTTTGTCTGATGCAATATATAGCAGCAAGTTGATTGGTAAGAACAGCACTTGGCAAGCATCATGAAAGGTGCAGAGAGATATTTATCATTAACATTTTAAACGTTTGTTCATTTTGTACACTGATACTGCTTATATGGTCTTCTATTCATCTGATATTTTCTTTATTGGTCAAGCTATTGCCCCAAAATACAAAACTAAAAAAATATGACAAATAAACTTTAAAGTTAGTTCCGTTAAAATATGTATTGAATAACTCTATTCGTATACTGAAAATTCAAAAAAAAATTTCGTGTCGTCTTACTAGTGAAACTGTTTGGTAAAAAAACCGGAAATAAATGATAGGTTTAACTAAATATATTATATCAAATATTTGGCTCCAACTGAATATTTCTAAAATGGCTGCTATACAGGGTTATTTTTCAATAACCGCACAAATTCACAGAGAAATTTCAAATGTTGAAGAAAAATTTAATTAAAAAAATTGAAACACAAAACAAAAACACAAACAGTCACGCCTGTCACCCAGAGGGGTAGGCAGAGACTACGGACTTCCATTTGCCGCGATCCTGACACACCTCTCTCGCCTCATTTACATCCATATATTTACGCATTCACGCTCGACAGTTAAGGGTACTCGTACTCCTAATCTGGCCCATTTTCAATGTATCGCCGATTTGGTCGCTAAATCTTCGTCTAGGGCGTCCCTTCCCGACTTTGCCGTTCACTTCTGAAACATAAATTTGCTTTGTCACTCTTTCCTCGCTCATTCTTTCTACGTGACCAAACCACCGAAGCATTCCTTTTTTAAACCTAGTCACAACGTCATCTTGCAAACCACACTTTTCTCTTATCACACTATTTCTCACCCTGTCATTCAGATTCAGCCCTAGCATACTCCGTAATGACCGCATTTCTACAGCCTTTATTCTACTCTCATGCTTCTTCTGCCATACCCAACTTTCACTACCATACATTAAAGTAGAGACTAACACAGCATTATGAATTGCCATACGTGCCTTCTTTGACACATTCTGACTCTTCATAATAGCGTGTAAAGCCCCTTTAACTCTATTTCAAACATTATGTCCTTTTTATCTTTTAAGTTCAAATTGCGTGGTAATGCATTATTTTAACTTATTTTACAGAGCATGCACACATTCGTAAGGGTCGATCGGTAGGCAAAAGCGTTCTTGCCCATAAAGCGCATTCAATTTGGGATATTTTCAAATAAAAATAGAAGCCTTTCTTACTCGTATTTTCAAAAGCTGCAATAATATTATATCATTATTTATATATTTGATTTTAAGTTTAAAATTTGGCTACTCTTCGAAAAATAACCCTGTATATTCTTTTATAAGTAAAGTATTTCAAAGGAATGTGGACAGCAGCTTTTCAAGTCGTTTCCTTTCAAAACGACGCCGCGAGCTGAAAGACTTGAAGTTAATGACGTACTAATTTTATTTTTAGTGATTTGCAATTGAAGTCTCAAAAGAGAGATTCAAAAGTTTATTAACCCGATTTAAGTTTCTTAAACAATTTTATTTGCCACATTTGGCAGGCAAGGTTGCCAACTCACCTGCTAAATGATACAACTATGGAAAATATTCATGTGTTCAACAGTGGACTATAGATAGGATGTAATTAATGACTAAAAGTTAATAAGTTAAAGTTACAGCCTATATACGTCCCACTGCTGGCAACACGCCTCCATATTGCCCACATTTGTGGGTATGTAGAAAAAAAAATAGATTACTTAGGTACGTGTTACTCTATCGAGCACCTATCGATGAATGTATATATAAAATAATATATCGATAATGTAAGAATATAAATGTCAATTAAATGAAATTTGTTATTATTATTATCACAATCATATGTCAAACATATATTATTATTACATATTAAATATTTTTTTTGTAAATTTAAATGATGTCTTAGATTCTTTTCCTGTGGCAAGCCCTGTATATGAGGCAGTGGGAACTAGACAATTTTGTGTACCTTTAAGTTATTAAGTTGTTCAATATATACTAATAACTGTTTGTTGTTTATATTGCCTCTTTTTCCAACAAAAATTATTATTTTACTATTTGGACAAAATTTAGTTACTATAATTATTTTATTTAGGGTGTGACGATAAGATGCTCCAGGCATGCAGCAATTTGTAATTTTTGTCCCTTTAAAAAGTTACGAGTATTTAAAGTTATGCTTAGATCTTTTCCCATATTATCGCAATACACATTTATTTTATTTTTGTTAATATTTCATTTATTTTTTATTTAAACCTCCTATGCTATTGCACCGTTATAGAGTTTGTGTGGTGGTATAATATTATCAGCACACACCGATTCTGAAGATGCTGGTATTGAACGCTGACACTTACATTGATATTTTACTTAGGTATCAAAACGCTCCTCATTATATTTATACGTCTTTACCAGATAATCAGTAGCCAGTATGTGTTATTATATTTTGTTTTGGACTGAATTATATTTATTGGATACAGTTTTAAGAGAATAAGTAAGTGATATAATTTCTGATTGACGGCACTCTACGTCCGCCTCATAACATTTTTTTATGTTATCCACCTCAATTGAATACAACTTAAGTTTATATATCAATGCTTGCTTTTCTTTACATACATTACATTATTTTTGGTATTGATATTTTTTTATTAAAGTTGATACTTTCCTTATGTATTTATTAACTTTTATATACTTCTTCAATTTGGTTTTACTACAATTAATCCTTACTGTGTTTCCTGATGTGGAAGAGTCGTCACCAGTCAAATCTCCTGTGGCAGATTGGCTCAAAATTCTTGAAGTATTGTACAAGCTTTGAGAACAAGCTTTGAGTCTGGGAGACGTTTAGGTTTTCTATGAATGTTTTGAATTGTGTTATTTTCTCATTAGTCTCATTCAACTATATATTCAATGCAGCAATAAACCTGAGAGATTCCTCATATTCTTTGCTGTATTGGTCAAACTCATTAACCGTTCCCTGTAGCTGATCACTTTCTTTTATAACACTTTTGTTATCTGTGTGTAACTATTTATTTTTAATTATCATCCCTTTTCTTAAGCAACAGTTCACACTGCTCCTTGGACGCCATTCTTGGAGCGAAAGCTGGCGTTGGTTCTCCATTCGGCGCATCGTGGCGTTTCGTGTATTCATTTTACTATTTTTTATAAATACAGTCAAGTTTGGCATCTCTTCCAATGGAAGTTAATTTTGCTATCAGTACTGTACTGGAACAAAATTACGACCACCACGGAAGACGTAAAGTTTTTCGTGATATTCCAATTTTTGTATGAAAATACAATAACCAATTGACAGCATTGCTTCCGATATGGTAACATGAGAGTAAATTTTGGCATTTTATTTTAACGCTGAATTGTACCACCGAAATAACCTCTTTGTTCTTTTTTCCAGAACTTTTGTTGATTTTGTTTGAAATACTGAATGTAGGTATCTATATGTTTGTAGAAAGTAATATTAAGGGGCTACTCCATGCGAACGACCTTGAGCATTTGACCGCTTGAAACAATATTAATATATTGTAGCGAGCGGCTCGCCGGAAGAAATATGTAAGACGCCACCTATTGTACGAAAGTAGTATTATTTTTTCAACATCAATAAACTATTTTATGGAAATACACATAGCGTACAAAGATAAATGTATTTTAATTTTTTTATTGTGTACATATTAGTTGCATTATATTAGAATTATGTATTTTCATATATTATCTAATTATGAAATTTTATAATTAATTATATATTAAAACTGAAGCATTGAAAATTGTGAGTTTAAAAGATACCTATTCACTATAGGTAAATAAATAGATAGCTCGGCTTTTGTACAAATATTTGGTGCAATAAAAAATAAATAAATAAATAGGATGTTTCGCATATGTGTTTTTGATTATTGTTAATTTTTACGTGTCACGTATTGAAAAGTTACCTACTAATTTTTGAACTTATGCTGGCAGATATTATCCTCACCCCAATGATTGATGAGGATGAAAATCAATTTTATTTCTACATACGTAATTATATTTATTTATACATAAGGGTAACTTTAATAAAGGTAATACAAAAATCAACAAGAAGTATAAGGGTTCAATCTTTCAATTTCAGTTGTAAATAAACGTTACCCCCACACTAGGATTTTCTCCTGTGTCGTGGAGGCAGTTTACAAACATAAATTGCACAAAGACAAACATCCAGACCCGGAACAATTATTTGTAGGCCATACAAATACTTGTTCCATGCGGGATTCGAACCCGCGGCCCCCAGCGCAGCAACTGATTGCTAAGCCACTGCGCCACCATGAAGCTAATACAAAGACTAACTTTGTATTTGCTTCATGGTCGCCGGGTTATAGCTAAAGTGACCATACGTCCCGTTTTGAACGGGACTGTCCCTTTTCTCGGTCTCCTGTCCCATTGTCCCCAAACAAAGCTCCGGGACACAAAATTGTCATGTAACTAGTTGGATGGAAGTATTCAAAGTCAACAATCTTCAACATAATTTTTTTTAATCGAATATATTTTATGTCTACCTGCTACGAATGCTCCGGTAGAAAGAGTATTTTTTTATTTTGCATAAATTGTGGACGTCTGAAAGAAACACTTACGGTTCCAGAGTTCTAAAGGCGATGTTGTTAACAAAGATAACAATAAAAAACTTGAGCAGAATTTTATTCTTATTTAAAATCATCACCAACTTTATTAAAGCAAATTTAATCCACTGACAAATGTAATTAATAATTAAAAAAATATGTTGCATTTAATAATTAATAATAAAAATAATAATCTCCTCGACCGATTTCGGCCACGGCGACCTCTTCAGCTCCGATCTTGTCGTTGGTGTGCTCGTGCATGGCTAACGTAGCCGATCTTATTTACAAATGTTCGCGTGCAATGCGGGCAGGTGAGCACACCATTACAGAAATTATAGTTAATCGCACAAGGTGGGCGTGCTTTGAGTTCATCACGTCGGGCGTCCAATTCAGAGCATCGATTCTCCTCAAACATTTTGACCTTGGCTTTCACCAAAGATCTCCACTCCGGTCGTCGAGCGGCTGCTTGCTCCCACTCTGAAGGCTCAATGTCGCACTTCGTCATGTGGCGCTTAAGTACATCTTTGTACCTGAGAAGTTGTCCGCCATGCTTACGCTTGCCCTTCTCAAGTTCAGAGAAAAAGATGCACTTAGCCGTACGCTGATCTGACATTCGCGATAAGTGTCCACACCAACGGAGTTGTCGCCCCATAAGGTAGGCTTCAATCCCCATGGTATAGGCTCTACGCAGCACTTCCGTATTCCGAATGCGATCAGACCAACGGATGTTGAGAATTTTGCGCAGACATTGCAAGTGGAAGCGATCCAGCGTCCGTATATGACGGCGGTAAACTGTCCATGACTCTGAAGAGTACAGTATGTTAGGCAGCACTACCGCCTTATAAATACCAATTTTGGTAGCCAGCTTTAGGTCATGTGAGCCAAAGACCTTGCGATCCAGTTTACCGAATACCGCAGCCGCGGCACCGATTCGACTGTTGATTTCAGCATCAAGGTCACACTTTGATGTTATCGTGCTCCCCAGATAACGAAATGTATTGATCTGCTTAAGTATATCATCACCGAGTTTGACGGCCAGTGTCTCTTGACCGTAGATATCTAAAGACATCACTTCCGTCTTTTTAACACTTATCTTCAGACCAAAAATACGGCACGACTCATGAAAGGTGGTCACAAGCTGTTGCAGGCCAGCTGGGGAATCGGCCACAAAACATAAATCGTCTGCGTAGACGATCTCTGTAATAAGTGCGTAAGACACTTTCGTACGGGCCTTAAGTCTAGCTAAGCTGAAAAGATTGCCATCGTTGCGGAAACGAATGCGAATTCCATCATGGGTAGTTTTTAAGACTTCCTGGACTACAACTGCAAAGTATAACGCGAAAAGTGTGGGTGCAAGGACACACCCTTGTTTTACTCCACAGGTAACAGGAAAAAATTCTGACTGATCAGCGTTTACAGCGACGCAGCTCTGCATGCCATCATGCAGGAGTCTCAGAAGTCTCACAAACTTCTCCGTGCATCCAATTTTCCGCAGCACTATCCAGAGGGCTTCACGTGGTACACTATCGAATGCCTTCTCAAGGTCTACAAAACAGAGATACATATTACGACCCTGTTCTCTGCTTTTTTCCTGTAGTTGATGTAATGAGAAAATCGCCTCACAGGTACCACGGTCAGGTCGGAAGCCGAACTGGGATTCCGGCAAAATCCTTTCAGAAAGTTTCCTGAGGCGGTTTAAAAGAAGTCTGGCGAAGACTTTTCCAGGCACTGAAAGTAGAGAAATGCCACGGTAAGAATTGCAGTTTGACCGGTCACCCTTGCCTTTATATAGGGCTCGTATGAGGGATACCTTAAAAGTATTAGGGACTTGTTCTTTTTCCCACATAATGACAAAAAGTTCCCATAACGCTGAATACAAATCCCCACCGCCATACTTCAATAATTCACCCGGTATAAAATCAACACCAACCGCGCGTTTATTTTGCTGTTGCCTAATGGCAAGAGCAACCTCGCCAGGCGAGATTGGCTCATCTAGCTCGAGGGCGAAAGGTTGTTGAGGTAGGCAGCGAACGTGGTCTAGGTCAACAAAATGATCCACGTTAAGTAGGGTGTTAAAATGCTCCGCCCATCGCCCGAGTATTTCCTCCCTGCTTTTAAAAAGCGCTCCACCACTAGTTGACTTCAGTGGAACTTTTGCCATAGAGGACGTACCGAGTAGATGTCGCACCTCAGCATAAAACTCACCGAGCTGGTTGGTATCAGCGAGCCACTGCATCTGACGAGCCTTCTCCTGCCACCACTTGTCTTTCGCTTGTCGTGCGAGTTTACGCAGCTCCAGATCACTTTGACGCAACTCCATAGCACCTCCACTCTGATGAGTTCTACTGTGCTGCTTTAGGAGCCTACGGTGTTTATCAATAGCGCCTGTAAGTATCCCATCATTCTCATCAAACCAGTCCTCATGTTTTCGAACTCTCAAACCCAAAGTAGATTTAGCAGTGTCGAGAACACAAGAAGATAGAGACTCCCAGACAACATCGATCTCACCTAATTTTAGATCGAGGGGCTGCAGAGCAGTGTTCAAGGTTTCGGCATATTTAGCCTTCGTGTTAGTATCTTGGAGTCGTTCGAGGTTCAGACGTATCTGTTTAGATCTTCCCACTCTACAAGGAGGTGGAAGACGAAGATTTAATTTAATAATAACAAGCCGGTGATCAGTCCAACAATGAGCACCACGCATGACACGGGTGACTTGGACTTGAGATATGTCTTTTTGACGCACGATGGCGTAATCGATAAGGTGCCAATGTTTCGATCTGGGGTGCATCCACGTTGCCTTGTACTTGGCAGGCAGTCTGAACATAGTATTTGTAATTGCAAGATCCAATTGTGCACAAAGACTAAGCAACAATTGGCCGCTGCTGTTCATTTTACCAACACCATGTCTGCCGAGAACTTTAGGCCAGGCGTCATAGTCTCGTCCTACTCGGGCGTTAAAGTCGCCCATGAGAAGGATTTGCTCTCTTGGACGAATACGATTTACGCACCGCGTCAATTCTTCGTAGAATTTATCCTTAATATCATCAGACTTGTCCAGCGTAGGGGCATAGACACTGATGATATTAAGATAGCTTTCACGTTCCATGTGAAGGCGCAATGTGGTAATGCGGTCCGAGATGTGTACAGGGTACTCTTGCAGTTGAGCAGCAAGGTAGTTCTTGACAGCAAAGCCTACACCAGACCTTCGCGGCTCCGAGGAAGCGAGTCCTTTCCAAAAGAAAGTATACCCGCCGCCATATTCTACCAGCTCTCCTTCCTCGGGGAGGTGTGTTTCGCTGAGTAATAATAATAGTAGTAATAATTACCGTCTATACCGAATATAATTTTATAGTGAACACTAATTGTATAAAGTTATAGTTTTTAGAGTATAAATAAACCCATGTCCTGTTATGAGTTAAAAAATAAATGGTCAGTTTAGTCTTTTTAGTTAAATTTAGTTTTAAATTTTTTTAGTTTATAGTAAAAAGTAGGTATATTAGTACTTTTTACCGAATTATAAGTATAGAACACCTTATGTACTCAATTATTTTTTGAAAAAGAAGAAAAAACAAGCAATAAATAATATACTATATTTTAGCAAAAAACTATAACTTAGTAATACTAATTATAACTTAGAACATAAATGAAAAACTCATAACTGACTTTTTGGCCCGACCCAGGATTCGAACCCGGGACCTCATGATCAGCAGTCGCACTACTACAACCACTAGACCAACGAGGCAGTACTATACCTGATAAGATATTGTGGTTGGGTGATAATATTGAATTAGCCTTTTATAGTGTAAATTATAATATTTGTCGAAATTTTAATTATAGATTCGAACCTTACATGCTAATGGTGCTTCATTTTTTTATTTGCATTTACTTCAAAGAAAATACACGCAAAATGCTTCATCGCGCAGTAAAAAACACAACAAATATATGTATAACTAATACGAAAAATTATACCCAAAACAAACAAATAATACTACCTATAAATAACCTAATAAGTAATAATGTTATCGACTCATATGACGTGGCGTATGCGTTGGTCGACGCTCTAACAACACGGGCTTCACGTCGAAGAGCTCAGCGCTCACTGACTTCAGCAAGCCCGTGAGCAGTAAATATGCCCAGATTTTAAAATAATTTCTTAATAAAATCAAATTTTGGTCTTTTGAAAAAAAATTTACTATAGAAATGTTCATTAATAAATTGCCTATCCATTGGTGTAAATCGCAAAATAAAATAATACTTACTTTACGAGGAGATGCATGTTATCAATAATAATTTCACATTTATGTGGTTTCGTTGTAAGGAGATTATATTAATATTTATTCCTTTAAAAAAAATTGGATATAGCTTTTATGGAATCAAGATTATGTAGAAATATAATGTGTTTTTTATTTGTTGATATATCTTTTAAATAAAAAGTAGATAGCTTCTAAAAACCGCCCAAATAACGACTAGCGCGACATTTTGCTCAACCTGCGCCTTAATGGTTATGAAATGTTATATTATATCATTTTTAACATGTTGGTCTTAACACTTATCTATTAAAGTAACTTGGCAAAGTTACCATACTAGTGATGCCACGATGTAACGGTTACTTCGCTATGTTGTGCTACAACCAACGGTTATCACTTTCAACCTATATTTTTAATTGATTACAACTATATTAAACAAAGTGTTATGTACTTATCATTCGATGTATGTATGTTTGTATCGATGTTTCACCGTAGCGGCCCATTAAACCGATTTTACCAAACGAGTCGTCAATCATCAGCAAACAATCGTCATCTTTATCAAAAGTGAAGGGAAGAAAAGAGAAATCTATATTATATTTACTGCGTTGTTCGGCATTAGTAACTATTACACTCAGTATTATTCATAATTTCAACATAGTGTATTGATATGAATTTGCACCCAAAAAACAGTGTCATTTTTAATTAAAAGTTTTGCTGTTGTGAAAAAACAATATTTAGATTGATTACAATTATTATGACCTGACATCATTGTATAACGACCATTAATAAAATGATGATGATGACTAATAAAAAAATTAATACTTGTTAAAATGATTAGGACAATATTTTTTCTCTGTACTATAATTGATCTAAGCTTATTATTGCACTAATTAAATTTTTAGTTTTAGAAGCTTCCTTGCAGATCTGAGCATCAAGGTCGTTGTAGACGGTGCATGCTCCGACTACAAGCCTATTAACGCTGTGTGCTATCACCAACGCTGTTTCTTCTGAATATCAATGATATGTTGCTAACTGGTAACATTCATTGCTATGCGGATGACAGCACTGGTGATGCTTTATACACCGGCCGTGCCAATATTTCTCGGGAAAACGTCGCTGAGTACCGGAAAAAACTTGTGTCTGAAGTCGAGCCATTGCTGAACAAAGTCTCGGATTGGGGGCGACTAAAATAACTTGTGCAATCTTCAACTTCAAAATGGTGTCATAATGTCGTATGCGGATGACATTGCCCTGTTGTTCTCAGCTGAATCACGAGATGAGGTTTATAAATACGCTCAGCTATGCTTTAACATAGTATCTAATTGGATTCTTAATAATCTCCTACGTTAAAACGCATATAAAACACAATATATGTTATTTTTAACGAGAAATAATAACGTATCTACTCACCTAAATATTTACGCTCATCATTGTAACTCGTATGATGACACTGCATGCGCATGTCCCGCAGTAACAAAAACAGACTATAAAATATCTAGGTATTACGATTGACACAAATTTAAATTTCCGTAAGCACATCGATTTACTTTGTGCTAGATTACTAGCTTTATGTCAATCCATACTCACTTATGGCATTACTTCCTGGGGTGGTGCTTCTAAAAAATATTAATCCCACTAGAACGTGCTCAGAGAGCAGTTCTAAAGGTAGCCACTTTCCGTCCATACATGGTTCCTATACATCAACTTTACTTGGCATGTAGTATACTAACTGTCTGTCAGTTGTATATCCTGAACATCATATTAAAACAGCATATCGAACTTCCATTTAACTTAAAATCCATAGACAGCAGAAGAATGGAGTTATTTTGTGTAAGCCCTCAAACCAAACACGCATTTGTGAACAGATTTTACAAATTTTTAGGACCATTTCTATATAACAAGCTCAGCAAGTCACTAAAGGTATATAGTGTAAGTTATAAGAATTGTAAGTGTAAGGGAATTTCTAAATAAATTAAATTACGAAAACACAGAGAAGTTGTTAGAAATTCTAAAATATTTTGTATTAATTGTAGGTAACAAATAATTGTTATTTAGTTATTTTTTTTATTATTTAATATAGTTTAATTATTTAAATGTCTAGTGTCCTACATTATTAAACACGTTGTGAAAGTGATATAAACTTGACTTTCTATTTTTTTTTTGTAAATTCTTTATTATTAAGCTCCACATAGTTTTAATTTTATCATAGCATGTTTTTTTTGTTAGACTTATTGTTACTTTATTTAATTCTAATCGTATTTATTCCTGTATGTAAATATGTGTGTAATTGGAAATTAAATAAATATTATTTATTATTATTAATATTTAGTTATCCGAGGAAATTACAAAACACAACATGCGTGTTGATCACAACCGTAGTGTTTTTCAAAGATTAGTCGATATTGTTTGCTATTTAGCACAACAACAACTTCCTTTCAGAGGTCGCGATGAGTCAAAAACTATTAAATAGAGGCAATTTTTTAGAACTTGTATCGCTTCTTTCAAGTATGATCTCGTGTTAGGTTTATCGCTTTGTTGATGCTGCATAATATGCATATGACTAACGGCCGTGTTATTTATCTAGTACAATCCAAAATGACATTATTCATTCTGTCGCTGATGTAATGAAAACTTGCATCGAGTTCGGAGTAAAACTGTCAAAATTCGTTTCAATTATTATTGACGAAACTCCCGATGCTAGTCACAGAGAGCAATTGTGTTAGATTCTCCAATATTAATATGGAAACGATATTCATGACCATTTTTTGGGGTATGCAGATGTAACTGAAAGTCGCACAGCAACACACTTTGTAATATCATATTGGAATTATTAAACAAACATGACTGCCCTACAAAATAAGTTGCGCAAAGCTATGACGATGCAAGTGTCATGTCCGGTGTCAGAAATGGGGTGCAATAAAAAGTTAAAGATGTTTGTCCCCAAGCCATGTATATTTGGTGTAATGGACATATTTTGGCATTAGTTTTATCTAAATCTTGTAACAAGATTGGGGAAGTCAGCACATTTTTTTCAGCCGTTCAGGCTTTATTTTTTTTAATAACAACACAAAACGGTCGTCTTTTTATGATGCACATTGCAGCAAAAAATTGCCTAATGCCCCCGCAACCCATAGGAAGTACGTCACAAATTGTGAATACAGTATTCGAACAAAAAGATAATCTGATTAATTTGTTTTGCGATATGTGCGACAATCCGCAGAACTGGGACGGCGACACGATCTTTGCCGCCGAGAATTTTGTAAACACATTGCATTCATTTAATTTAAAATTTTTCCTTTCAATATTCTACCGGGTATTTGAAAAATTCGATTGCTTCTACAATATTTTACAAACATCACAAGTTGATATCGGTAATTGCAGTAATAAAATAAAGGAGTTTAGGACATGGTTACGTACGGAATTTCAGTCACATTTCGATCACATTTATGAAAGACCGCAATGTTTTCAAACTCATTAACTTTATAAACGAAAATAGTCTTGAAGAGGCCTTTCCCCCCCTTTATGTTAAAGTAAGCTTATCTTGTCGTAACTATCCAGCCACACGTTCCTCCGCGGAACGTGCTTTCTCATCTCTGAAGCGCATCTATATTTATTTGAGAAATACACAAGGTCAAGAGCGTCTTTCAGACTTATCAATTATCACAATTGAAAAACAGTTATTGACACAATTAAAACGTTCACCAACATTTTACACGGACGTAATCAAATCTTTCCTTAAGAAAGAGAGACGATTCGATTAAGAATATTAATATTAATTTTGTACATAGTTTGTTTGTACTTTTTTCATGCTTTTCTTTTGTTCATGTATTGTATTGTATGTAAATATCTTTCTTTTATTCACTTAAGCAAACCCAACAGCTTTTTTCAAAGCCACCAAAGATATGCAATTGCTGATATGTCATACAATCTATCTAGCAGTAGTATGCCTTCTGTGGGTTTGTTAAACATGTCCTCGACAGCACTGAATTTGAAACTGAAGAGTGGAAACAGATTAAGATTG